ACAAGTACGTGGGAGTTGAGGTATGGATGAGCAAACGTCGCTGGTCTGAAGTACTCCAGGTGCCAAGATTTCGCAATCACCACTGTTCTCTGTCGTCCAGGACGGATTTGCGTCATGGGTCAACCAATTGAATTCATAGGGGAGATGCTCATTGCATTATTATGGTGTCTTATATGTATATCTTGAATTTTCTTGAATGTGCAACATTTTCCCTACATCACTTTGTTTGCAATTTTATTTTTCCGTGTATCTGGCTTGTAATTATGACTAATCCTTCAGGGACCCCATGATTTAGAACAGTCGACCCCTTACTCTATTATTCAAAATGATAACGTACATGCATGATGCCTTATATCGATCCTGGTTTGTTGGTCATATACTGAGTCAATGTCAAAATCAATGTAATTGTCACCAGCATCCCTACGCGTATCACATTACGGTATTAGTACGTAGAAGAAATTATTTTTTTCAGAATTCAGGAAACCGAAGTTTCAAAAACACATATTCAAATGTTCTCGCGGTTCGGTCGAGTATATGTTTGTGTCTCTGTTTATTGGCGACGAGAACGCGCCCTCCTCCCCCTCCCACACACACACCTGTGGCGATCATTTGTGGTCTTCCCGTTCCATCAATTTGAGTAGAACCACCTTTCAGTTCTTTCACCAATTACCTGCTTAGTTACGACTCAAATAAAATTCTTTTCTATAAAGAAAATCCTTAAACGCTCTATTAAAAAGCGTTTGGACGGACATTCATTAATAATACGTCATAGGATGGACGTTCCGGGTCACAATTCTATTGATTGTAGAGAAACCCATGGATGACAGCACATTGTCACGTGGTCTCATTAATCAGTTACCACGACAACGTTGTCTTTTCAATACTAGAAACCAACTGAATTTATGACAGGGGAAACAGCGGTAGCAAAAAATGTGACAAACGTACGAGGCTTTAAAACCAATGAACCATACCTATATCTTTCAATGGTTGGATACACCTGTTAACCGTTTTATATCACTTTGCGGAGGTAATTCCTGAGACGGTTGGTGGGAGGAGAGGGTGGAGTGGGGGTAACATATAAATCTCCATTTTCTGACGTTCTGCTCATTCTTTGTGTTGCTATGGACTCGCAGTTCCCATAACCTATTTTAGTGTAACACACAATTTAGCCGACTTTCTAGTAACTTGGCTTTGTCTATAAATCATTTGCATACTGTAATGGTAATTATAAATCGTCTACTGTCTTACGTATTGCGTAATATTATATTATATTATATTAATTACTGGTTCGGACATATATA